TGAGGGCAGCGACGGAGGACCGTGGGAGTTGCCGGCGGTGTATGTTGGTGGGAAGCTGTTGGGAGGTGTTGATAAAGTAATGGAGGCTCATGTTAAGGGAGAATTTGTTCCCATGCTTAGGGCAGTTGGAGCCTTATGGCCTTGAAAATTTCTTTTTCTTTTGGTGGACAAGTGCCAATTCAAATGTACTTAGTTATGTGGTAGTAATATTGAAAATGAACTTTTTTATGCAAGAAATGAAACTTTTGAAACATTGATGGAAATCTAGTATAGAAATTTCCATGGGTTGTGGTACATTAGTGGGAGTGTTTCACCCTTAACCAGAGGTCTCGGGTTCGAGCCTTGGGTATGGAGGGAGTGCCACCCCGAATGGGCGTTGCAAAGCGCTATCCGAATTTAGTCGAAGCTCCAATGTGGGCTCCGAACACCCGGGTGGGAAACAAAAAAAAGTTTCTTTATTCGTATGTATACTGCAGATTTTATTTATTTTTCTCATTTTTGTGTTCAGTATTCAAGGGTAAATTATTCAGGTAAACAACAAAAATCTTTCAAAAATATGTATTACAACCATAGATAATTCTAACTAATAAGGTTAAATATAATATTTGAAATAATTCTACTCGAAAACCAAAAACCAACTATATGTACTGATCATAAAATGCCTCAAGTAAGATGTGTTAATGTGAGAAGTAGTTGGTCGGTTGCAGCGGAATAATAAGTACTCAATTAGTGTTGATAAGAGATTTTGGGTTTGTGTTCTAACTTAATATGAAATCATCTTCGTTAGAGATGTGTTTTATTCCTGTGTAAAATTTTCTTACACAAATTCAAATCTAATCAAGTCTCAATGTGAATACTGAAATCAAACAAAAATAAATAAAATAAAAATAAAAATAAAAATAAAAATGTGAGAAGTACTTTGTAACTTTGTATTAATTCAATAGTTGACTGTCAATTATGAAGCAACAATATGACACTTCAGATGATTTTAATTGATCATTATCCAAATTAACCATTAGAACTATTGTGAGTGCAAATACTCCTTTGTTCCATTTTAATTATCGATTTATCATAAAAAAATTGTCCTAAAATAAGTTACTTTAGTTATGCGAGCTTTCATTGTTTAAGTATAGTTAACTGATAATTATGTGCGAGCTTTCATTAATTTGATGTAAAATAAACTTAACACAATTACGTGATTTAATAAAGTGAGATATATATTAATTAAATATAATTAAGTGACAATTATATGTGTTTAACACCTATTATGCTTTCATTATTTGATGTAAAAAAATTGTACGAATAAATTTTCACCATTGAAATGACAATATTACTGTCTATTTTCTTTTGCATCTTTTGTCATTAAATACGTCGCAAATAATGTGAATGCTCCTGCTTTTTACAACCAACTGTCAATCATTAACTTAGATTCTTTACTTGGTGGAAGTAAAATGTCCTAGATTTAAGGTTTCACTACTTAAAAATAAAATTAATTACTTCATCCGTCTCAATTAAAGTTGTCAAATAGACGAATTGAATTAAATTTGAACAAGTTAAAATGAGTAAATTATTGACCCATTCAATAATTATTTAGGAGAAAATGTTGGTCACAATTAAAATTTCAATCCACCCAATTTTTCTTAAGTTTTAATTATTTTATTTGTATTTTTTTGTACCTAAAACATTTATTTTTTTCTTTATAACTATATAAAACATATCAAATTAAAAAAATGTTATTTTAATAAATTTTTTTTTTAAAATCTCATTAGTCAAGTTGTGCTACACATCAACTTAATTTTCATTGGACTGAAATGAGTTAAACTAGTAAATGGGCATATCAATAAGCTGTCCAAACTTGAGAAGTTTAAGTCTGACTTTATCACCCTGGTCTTTTTTATAATTAAGAATAATTAACTTTAAAATTCTATTTTACCATATATGAAATGGTTTATACACAAATGATCAAGTTTATATTAGATTATAAGTATTCTTTTTCTTAAAATTTTATGACTAATCAAATAATGATGTTACACAAATTGAAATGGAAAAAGTATCTAATAACATTAACTTCTTATAAATTGTAAAGTTATTTGGATTAATTATTAGAACAATGATAGATAAAACAACATATAAGGGCATCTTTCATTTCTTAAAAGGAACACTTAATGTGAACTAGATCTATTTAATTTAGCTAAAATGTATTTTCTCCCATTTTTACTTGTCATTATTTGACTTGACATATTTATTAAAAAAATAATTATTGATATAAATATTTTATCAAACTATCTTTATTAAATGATATTTAGTACTAGGTCTTCAAAAATGATATTTAATGTTGAGGGTAACATGAAAAATATAATTGTCTTTTTTTGATATATTAGAAGTGACAAGTAAAAAAAAAATTATTTAAGAAATAAGTGACAAACAAAAATAAACCGAGAGAGTAGTTAAAAAATGAAAACGTTCTATTTATATTTAGCTAAGGTCGAATTGATCGGTGCACTAGCCAAAATTTTTTATTTAACTTTTACTTTTTTAAAATAATAAAAGACTGATTTTTAATCTTCGTGTGTTTTAACGTGTAAAAATTCAATTATTTTTTTTAATAATAAAAGACTGATTTTTAGTCTTCATGTGTTTTGACGTGGATGCTCGGAGTGGGAATTATAATAATTGCGAAAGTATAGTTAAATTTAAAAACACCATAAATGAATGATGATATGGTCAAACTAAATTCAAAGTAGTTAGTGACGCCATTTATTCTTTCTTACTTATAACGCGCTTATATATTTCACTCTTTCTAACATCTTCACTTCACATTATTTTCTCACCACCTTTTAATATCATGTGTCGAACAACTTCCCACCAAAATTTCTTTCCCACAAGCAGCGGAGGATCATCCGCTGTATTGCTAGTGGATCTAGCAGATCCACTAGTCGCGAATCACCACCACCACCTCCTCCCGGTGATGAGAGCACCAAAAAGGTGAGAAAAACGGGGATTGCAAATTTAATTTCTTTTTCTTTTTGTGGACAAGTGGCAATTCAAATGTACTCAGTTATGTTGTAGTAATATTGAACATGAACTTTTTTATGCAAGAAAATCAAAGCCCTAATTTTACTGATTTCATATCATCAATTTATAATAAAATGGTAATGCAGTATATACATCTTTGTATTTAACCAAAATTCATCCAAAGAAATGATATATGCAGTTTTAGATATACTTAAGTTTCTTTAATCGCATGCATACTGCATATTTTATTTATTTTGCTCATTTTTGTGTTCAGTATTCAAGGGTAAATTATTCAGGTAAACAACAAAAATCATTCAAAAATATGTATTACAACCAGAGATAATTCTAACTAATAAGGTTAAATATAATATTTGAAATCATTCTACTCAATAAACAAAAACCAACTATATGTACTGATCATAAAATGCCTCAAGACGTGTTAATGTGAGAAGTAGTTAGTTGGTCGGTTGCAGTGGAATAATAAGTACTCAATTAGTGTTAATAAGAGATTTTGAGTTTGCGTTCTAGATAAATATGAAATCATCTTTGTTAGAACTTAGAATATTTAAAATTTTCCTACACAAATTCAGATCTAATATAATTGAGTCTCAATGTAAATACTGAAATCAGACAAAATAAAATAAAATGTGAGAAGTAGTTTGTAACTTAGTATTAATTCAATAGTTGACTGTCAATTATGAAGCAAACAATATGACTTATCGAATGATTTTAATTGATCATTATCCAAATTAACCATTAGAATTATTGTGAGTGTGATACTCCTTCGTTCCATTTTAATTATCGCTTTATCATTAAAAAATTGTCCTAAAATAAGTTATTTTAGTAATTCAAAACTAAAATTGTTAATTATTTTGAATTATATTTTTAATTAAAAGTTAAGTGATAATTTTGTGCGAGCTTTCATTAATTTGATGTAAAATAAACTTTAACACAATTGCGTGATTTAATAAAGTGAGATTTATATTAATTAAATATAATTAAGTGACAATTATATGTGTTTAACACCTATTATGCTTTCATTATTTGATGTAAAAAATTTATACGAATAAATTTTCACCATTGAAATGACAATATTACTGTCTATTTTCTTTTGTATCTTTTGTCATTAAATACGTCGCAAATAATGTGAATACTCCTGCTTTTTATCACCAACTTCCAATCATATATGAAATGGTTTATACACAAATGACTCAAGTTTATATTAGATCATAAATATTCTTTTTTAAAATTTTTTTATGACTAATCAAATGGTGTCACACAAATTGAAATGGAAGAAGTATTTAATAACATTAACGTCTTATAAATTGTATGTACTTATTATTGAAAGATTTTAAAGTTATTTAGATTAATTATTAGAACAAGGATAGATAAAACAACAATAAGGGCATCTTTGATTTCTCAAAAGCAACATTTAATGTGAACTAGATCTATTTATTAATTTAGCTAAAACGTATTCCCTCTCATTTTTACTTGTCATTATTTAACTTGACATATTTATTAAATTATCCTTATTAAATGATATTTAGTACTAGATCTTTCAAAATAATTTGAAGAATAAATATTTAATATTGAGGATAACATGAAAAATATAATTATCTTTTCTTGACATATCAAAAATGACAAGTATTTAACTTTTACTTTTTAAAAATAATGAAAGACTGATTTTTAATCTTCGTGTGTTTTGACGTGTAAAATTCAATTTTTACTTCTTTTTTTAAAATAATAGAAGACTGATTTTTAGTCTTCTATGTGTTTTGACGTATATGCTCGGAGTGGGAAAAAATTATAATAATTGCGAAAGTATAGTTAAAATTAAAAACACCATAAATGAATGATGATATAGTCAAACTAAATTCAAAGTAGTTATTGACGTCATTTATTACATCTTACTTGTAACGCGCTTATATATTTCACTCTTTCTAGCATCTTTATTTCACATTATTTTTTCACCACCTTTTGATATCATGCGTCGAACAACTTCCCACCGAAATTTCTTCCCCACAAACAGCGGAGGATCCGCTGTATCTGCTAGTGGATCTAGCGAATCACCACCTCCTCCCGGTGATGAGAATACCAAAAAGGTGAGAAAAACGGGGATTTCAAAGGTGGTGGCGGAAAATTCAATTGTTATTGTAGCCGTGCTGGGATGCTTCATGTGTGTCACTGTGAATGGTTTGATGCAAAAACTAGGTGTAAATCCAAAGATCGTAGAGGTGAAAGAGGCGGAGAAAACCGCGACTTTGGTGCAGCTGGCGAAGATTGAGGACGGGAGCGGTGGACCGTGGGAGTTGCCGGCGGTATATATTGGTGGGAAGCTGTTGGGTGGCGTTGATAAAGTAATGGAGGCTCATCTCAACGGAGAATTTGTTCCCATGCTTAGGGCAGCTGGAGCCATATGGCTTTGAATCTCTCTTTTATTTCTTCTTTCAGTGGACAAATGGCAATTAAAATGTACCCACTTATGTAGTGGTATTGAACATCAACTTTTATATATATCTATGGAAGAAATAAAACTTTTGAAACATTGATCGAGCGATAGATATTTACATGATTATAAATAAATAAAATAGAAAATTCCAAATTGAATCGTTTCTAAAAAGGATGTACGATATACTTTTTTAAAAATCTAAAAATAAATAAATAACACATAATATAAATTGAGATGGATAAAGTACTAGTAGATAAGCTTACATCTGCGATTGATTTTAGTTTAGCTTGGTTGAATTGCAGGATCTTCCTTTAATTATTATTTTTTTATATATTTTTTTAATGAAAACCCTAATATTACTGATTTCATTGAACAACTACTTTAAAATGTTGAAGCCAATTCCATAATAGTATAAAATGGTAATGCAGTATATATATCTTTGTGTTTAACCAAAATTCATCCAAAGAAATGAAATATATGCAGTTTTAATTTAGAATTAATTAAGTTTTTTTTAATTCGTATGTATACTGCACTTTTTATTTATTTTGCTATTTTTGCATTCAGTATTTAAGGGTCAAATATTCAGGTAAACAACAAAAATTAATAAAGAATTATATTATAACTCGATCGAGATAATTTTAACTAATAATAATGTTTTTTTAATCATGACTAGCAATAGTCTTTTTGGAAAATCAAGTTTGATAGTTCCATGTATAATTGGTGAAATATAATTTGAAACAATTCTACTCGATAAACAAAAACCAACCATACGTACTGATCAAAATGCCTCAGCCCTCAAGTAAGATGTGTCGATGTGAGAAGTAGTCAATTGGTTGTAGCGAAGTAAGAAGTACTAATTTTGTGTTATTCAGAAGTTTTGGATTGTGTTTTAGCTAAATATGAAATAACCTTTGTTAGAAGTACTATATTTTACTGCAATGTAAAAATTCTCTATAAAATTCAATTCTAATCGAATTCCAATATGACCACTAGATAGCTGGCGAAAATAAAAAAATGTAAGTAGTTGACTATCAACTGTGAAGCAATAATGCCAATTCTGATGATTTTAATTGATCATTATCCAAATTAAATATATTAAAATTATTGTGAGTGTACATATTCCTCCGTTGCATTTTAAATATCGCTTTAACATTAAAAAAATAAATTGTTTCATTTTAATAATTCAAAACTAAAATTGATAATTATTTTTAACTATACCCTAATTAATATTTATAAAAATTCTTTATAAAAATGTTCAATTCTAAAAAATATAATAAGAATAATTTAATATATTATGCTTGTATTTATTATTATTTTCTTAATTAACATGAAAAAAGTTAAAACGATAGTCAAAATAAAAAAAAAAAAAGATAGTCAGAATGAAAAAAATATATTTAATTTTTACTTATTTTTAAATAATAAAAAACTGATTTTTACCCTTCGTGTTTTGGCGTGTTATATGCTCGGAGTGTGGGGAAAAAATCATAATAATTGGGACTGAGATTATAAATGAATGATGATATAGTCAAAATAAATTCAAAGTAGTTAGTGATGGAGATTACATGAATTTGATATTAGCTATGACGCTCATTTATTACTTCTTACTTGTAACGGCCCTATATATTTCATTCTTTCTAGCATTTTTACTTTACATTATTCTCTCACCACCTTTTGATAATACCATGTCCCACCGTAATTTCTTTTCCACAAGCAGCGGAGGATTCTCCGCTGCAGCTACTAGTGGATCCAACGGATTCACTAGTAATCAGAGCACCAGAAAGGTGAGAAAAACGAGGATTGCAAAGATGGTGGCGGATAATGCTGTAGTAATTGTGGCTGTACACGGATGCTTCATGTGCGTGACTGTGATTAGTTTGGTGCAAAGACTAGGTGTTAACTCGAAGATGATAGAGGTAGAGGAGGAGGAGAAAACCGCGACATTGGTGAAGCTATCGAAGATCGATGACGGGATCGGAGGACCATGGGAGTTGCCGGCGGTATATGTTGGTGGGAAGCTATTGGGAGGTGTTGATAAAGTTATAGAGGCTCATCTCAAGGGAGAACTTGTTCCCATGCTTAGGGCAGCTGGAGTCTAATGCCTTTGAAAATCTCTTTTTCTTTCTTTCCCTTTTTATGGACAAGTGGCAATTCAAATGTACCCTCTTAGTTATGTGGCGGTAATATTGGACAATCAAAAATAAATTGAAAAATATTATTTCTAAAAAATAATGGACTATAAGATAGTAAATAAATTTTTTATCCTCTCATCAATGCATCAAGTTAAATAGTTAAGTTTAACAATCTTAAGCAACTTTAAGGTTATGATTTTAGTTTAGGTTGAATTGAACTATCTTCCTTTAATTTATTCTTGTTTATTCGAATTAAAGCCCTAATTTTACTGATTTCATTTAACAACTATTTTAAAATGTTGAAGTTAATTCCAGTATTAGCATTAAAATGGTAATGCATAATATATGTTTGTAGTTAACCAAAATTCATCCAAAGAATTGGTACATATGCAGATTTAGAATTAATTAAGTTTCTTTATTCGTATGTATACTGATTTTTTATTTATTTTGTTCATTTTTGCATTCAGTATTTAAGGGTAAATTATTCAGGTAAACAACAAAAATCAATCAAGAATTATATTATAACCAGAGATAATTTTAACTAAAAATGTTTTTTTTTTAAATCATGAATATCAACAATCTTCTTGGAAAATCAAGTTTGATAGTCAAATAAAATATCTGAAACAATTCTACTCGATAAACAAAAATCAACTATACGTACCGATCAAAATGCCTCGAGTAAGATGTATTAATAATGTGCGAAGTAGTTAATCGGTTGTAGTGGAATAATAAGTACTCATTTGATGTTAATAAGAGATTTTAGGTTTGTTATTTAGCTAAATATGATATCACCTTTGTTAGAAGAGATGTTTTACTTCAGTGTAATTCTTTTTTACAGTAATTCAGATCTAATCAAGTTTCAATGTGAATACTGAACATGGTGAAAACATTAATGTAAGGAGTAGTTTGTATTAATTCAATAGTTGACTGTCAACTATTCAATTGTGAGTGTAAACACTCCCCACGTTCCATTTTAGTTATTGCTTTATCATAAAAAATTATCTCAAAATATGTCATTTAGTAATTTCAAATTAAAAATTACTATAATAATTATTTTTAACTATATCTTTAATATTAAAAAGAGTCTTTTTAATGATATTCAGTTCTCCAAAAGTATTTACTAATAAATAAAAATAATTTAGTAAACTATGTTCTATATTCTTAATAAATGTTAAAAAAATAAATTCAAATGATACTTAAAAATAGTACTATTTCACGCACTTGTCACTTTAAAAAGCTCACGATAATTGTGGAATGAGGAAAAAAAGATGAGGACAGAATCAGATGATATAAATTATAATGGATGACGTAACCACTAAAAAATTTCTTAATTAAATATTCACATAAGTAAAAAATTAAACTACAAAAAAAAGGAAATTAATTTCGTAAGATATTTTATTTCTTATTCTTTATTTTTTTCAGAATAAACTAAAATGCATATCCTTAAGTCTTGGATGTTCTCATGTTCACACTTCTGGTCCAATTTTTTTTTACTAAAACAAATGTTTAGTGCGTAGGTTAGTTTAATGACCATAAATTGTGTGACATCAAATAATTATATTCTTGCAATTCATAAATATTGTGACTAAATTGATTAGGTGCCTAGTTGAATTGACTATTAATTTATCGTTTATAAGTCAAAAGTTATAAATTAAAATTTCTTACAATCCGTGAATATTACAACTAAGTTGACTAGGTGCCCATTTAATTCGAATTGACTATTAGTTTGTTGCTTATAAGTTAAAAATTATAAATAAAAATTTCTACGTTAATTTAGCGATCATAAATTGCGTGACACCAAATAATTATATTCTTGTAATCCACGAATATTACGTCTAAAGTTGACTAGGTGCCCATTTAATTTGAAATGACTATTAGTTGGTCGTTTATAAGTCAAAAGTTATAAATTAAAATTTCCAACTTATGATTTTTATTATTTTGACTAAAAACACTTTTTAATTTTATTCAAACACTATATAATTACTTAAAAGTTATTTTAACTTAAAACACTTGAAATAAATCAATTCAAACAAACTCTAAATAAGTTAGATGCATGGCTCTGATCAGATGATCTCTTTTGGATTATGTAACGACCCTCTTAGTCGTTTTTATGAATTTAATAATTATTTTTATATTTACCTTTTTAGTAATTTTTATAAATAATTTATGACTTATAAGAATGAGTGACATGATTTTCAGATTTAATAAAGGATTATTTTATTGCTAATAATAATGGAAAAAAATAGAAAAGGAAAATAAATAAATAAATGAATAAATAATAATTAATAAATAAAAGAAATAAGGGCAAGAAGCCCTAAACTGTTGAAAACTGACGAAACAATGGGAAAACAATAACTTTCTAGCAAAAACTACTTACGATGCGGTGGCAATCAAAAGGAAGAAATAATTGATTCGGGTAAGTGTCACGACCCGGGAGCACCCCCTAGTCGTAACCGGCATACTCGACCTCGAAGAGGTCTAATACAAGCCTCTTAGCATTCATTCATCGCATAGACACTAAAACCCATAAGGAATTAAAAACTTTCTTTACAAAGAAGACATTTCATTAAAAATAGCAAGCGGAAGACTTTCTAGACGTTATACATGATGTCTCAAAACCATCTAATACTTTAGAGTACAAAATTTGGGACTAATC